GGGAAATCCAGTCTATGGTGTTGTGGGCCCACAGTTCAGTCTGGGACCGTGACCAGATAGCGCTGGCGTATAGCTCTGGGCTGGCGACCAAGCGCCTGGCGGAACAGGGATCTCTTCCGCGGTTTAGCCGGGTCAGTTAAAGCTGATTGAATCCCCCACCATGGGGTATCCTCTCACCTGTGAAACACAATCACTTGTGTTTTATGGCCGCGAGTTCTGATTGCTGGTCACTGTGCCAATCCTGCTGTGCTGCTCCTCAGAATGAGAGTCCTCCTGGCGCCACCATCTTGCCCCGATCTAGAGTATATTTTTGATTTGCTCCTGAGGTTAAAGTTTATATCAGTTTTTTATTATTCTATTGGGCTTGCCACATTTGTTAGTTACTTGATCTTTCTCAATACAAATTTTAAGACTTTTTTAATTTTGTGTTCCTAATAGTTTAACTATAATATATTATTAAAGTCCACAAGCCAATCTCTCTCTCTCTGAGTTGGCAGGGTTCCATTGTGCAGGGTAGGACCTGGGACAGGATGCAGAATCTCTATTTTCTTTATGCCTTGTGTTGTCAGGCAAGTGAGCAGGAAGGATTATTGGAAGGAAAATAAATAGGGGAGGGGACCCAGGATTTCTTCTCTAGGATTAGGGATTGGTTATACTTCTGCGATGGAGGAAAGCTAAAATTGAACACTTTTTTTTTCTCTGACTGAAAATGTAAAAAGTGGCTTTTAGCCAAAACTGCAAGGGGTTGTTAAAAAGGGCACTTCAATCTGAAATTAGCTCTTGTGCAGGAAGAGGCCTCTGTGGAAGCCTCCTCAGTTACATCCTGACATAGACATGCACAGTGAGAGTTGAGAATTCCAAAGTATCTCGCATTCTTCCATGTTAACTATTCATAGGTTTCTTTGTTAATTACTATCTATGGCAGGAAGAAGCTTCTCTGATGAGGGTTAAGTGACGCGCTATTTTACAGATATAGCAGTGTGTCATTAGGGATCTTTTTATTGCTACATTAATTTAATAGGTTAATGGTAGTAGGGTTTCTTCTATGGCTCATGATTTATCTGCTCTCTGGTTTGTGGCCTCAATGACAGTATGGCAGCATGGGATCTATCTTATGGAGTGGGCATAAAATCCAATTTAAAAAGTGATTGGTTATTTCCATAACATTTGTGCCCAATTGCCCCAGTGGGCATAACTTTCAGGCTGGTCATTATTGTAGCTTACATAGTTCACATCTGAGTGAGACTAACTATTACTTTTTCATCCAGTACTGGGCATAGAACCTTTCTGTAAAAGCAACTTTTTTGACCTGTTTTATTTGTTGTCTGAGAATTTAATTGCCTTCTTTGCTAAACTAGGCCTACTCCTGGAAACTTATAGCCTCCATACAATCTAACTAAGGCCTAGAATGTTTTCAGTATCTGAGATTTACTGCTATATAAGCTCATCATTTCTTGTTCTCTCTGACCTATGGGCTGGCTGGTTCAACTCAGCTTTTCTGGTTCTAAATCCCCTCCCAGCAGGCTCATTCAATTGGGCTTTTCTCTTGGCCTCTGAGTTGCTCTACTTGGGCCTCAAACTAACTTCAGCAATGTGCTCTAATCTCCTGGCTCCTCACTCTTTGGATCATTCTGTCTTCCCTCAAGTTCTGTCCCTGCAAACTGTCTCTATTACTGCCTCTGCTTCTGCCTCTCCTTCTCCCTCTGCCCCATCCTTCTCTTTGTCTTTTTTGCTCTCCCTGGAGTTTTTAGCTGTTCTACACCAAATGAACCTAATAGATATTTATAGAACATTTTACACCCACAGTCACCCACTCACCAACACACACACACACACACACACACACACATACACACACACACACACTCACACACACAGACACACACAGACACACACCCTTTTCTCAGCACCTCTGGGAACTTTTACTTAAATTGAAGACATACTCAGACTCAAAACAAATCAGAACAGGTATAAGAAAATGGAAATAATTCCCTGTATCCTGTCATACCAGCCCAAATTAAAGCTGGGTATCAACAATAACAGAAACAATAGAAAGCTTACAAAGTCATGGAAACAGAACAGCTCTCTACTAAATGAAAAATTTGTCAGACCAGAAATAAAGAAAGAAATAAAAGACTTCCTAGAAGTCAATAAAAATTAATACACAGCATATTCAACCATTTGGGACCCAATGACAGTGGTACTAAGGTGAAACTTTATAGCACTAAGTGCCTATATTTTTTAAAGGAAACTGGATCTCATACTAGTCACTTAACAGGATATCTGAAATCTCTAAAACAAAAAGAAGCAATCACATCCAAGAATAGTGGAAGGCAAGAAATAACCAAACTCAGGGCTGAAATCAACCACATAGAAACAAAGAGAACAAAACAACAAATACAAGAGCTAATGTCAAGAATCTTCATATTATACCACAAAATAGAAACAGAAGGAACATTGCCCAATTAATTTTATAAAGCTATAGTTGCCAGGCATAGTGGTGAACACTTGTAATCCCAATATTCCAGGAGACAGAGGTAGGTAGGTCTCTGTGAGTTTGAAGTCAACAAGTCCAGGACAGCCAAGATTATACAGAGAAACTCTGTCTTGAACACAAGTTAGGAATTAGTCTCCAAATGATATTCCTATCTGGCACTGATACCTCAAGATCCATTGGGTCTTGCTTGATCATATAGTTGAAGTGGTAGGTAAGCTTGAATAACAGCCTGGATCTGGTGAAGAGCCTTTTCCTTTTCTGGGCCTCACACTAATATAGCACCTTTTTAAGTCATTTGGAATATAAGCGAGAATAGCACACCCAAGGGAAGAAAGTACTGTCTTCAGATACCAAGTAGGCTTCCCAGATGATGTCCTTCTTTCTTGGTGGTGTGAGCAGCCAAGCGCAATAAATCACCTTTCACCTATGAAGGAATAAGTGTGCCTGACCCAAACCACTGGACTCCTAAGAACTTCAGTGAGCTAGGCTCTTTATTTTAGTTGGATTTATTTCCATCCTGTGATGTGTATACATATTACTAATGATCCAAAGTGTTTGCTACCTCCTGCTCACATGATCCAATTTGCACAATGCCATCACTATAGTAGACCAATGGATATTTTATGGAAAAGACTGATTACAGAGATCCTTAATAACCAAATATTGACACAGGCGTGAAGAATTGCAATATCCTAGAGGCAAAACTGTAAAAGTATACTGCTTACCTTGCCAACAGAAAACAACTTGTTACTGATGGTCCTTGTGTACATGTACTGAGAACAAGGCATTTTTATATTTATTGTTGTGAACCTAGCCTTTAACTGCTGAGCCATCTCTCTAGCCCGTACAAGACATTTCTTACATCAACAGCTGCATACCATATATCATATGTGTTAATTTTCTCAAAGAAGGACACAACATCAGTTCAGCAGCTGTAATAAGAGTCACTACCTGACTGAATTTTAGATAATCAGCTTTCATTCTTCTAGATCCACCTGCCATCTTCCATGGGAGCCCAATTAAAGGTAGATGTGTTGGGAAACATACTTCTGCATCTCTCAAGTCCTTAGTGGTGGGACTAATTTCTGCTGTTTCATTACAAATCTGATACCTTTTAAAAAATAAGTATTTATTATTTATACAACATTCTGCCTGCACACCAGCTCTTACTATAGATGGTTCTGAGCCACCATGTGGTTGACTGAGAATTGAACTCAGGACCTTCAGAAGAACAGCAAGTGTTCTTAACCTCTGAGCCATCTCTCCAGCCCCATGTAATACTTTTTATTCATTGGCAGAAGTAGTTAAAAGTTGCCATTTATCTTTTTCAGGCATGATATCTCTCACCTCTGTTGTAACTGTCACTCTTTGTTAACAACTGCTGTAGTCTTTAGCATATCAGAAGCCATTTTGGCTCCTTTTCTCCATGTTTATAATAGGGTGAAATTAAGTTCAAATTCTAATGCCCCTACATTTCTGAGACCAGGATAGAATTCAACAGTTCAATACTTGTTGCTTAGAATAATACAGTGGAAGATAGATGCATGGGCTGTTTGAGTTAAAGATAAATGTATATTCTGTTAGAGTGAAGAGCATAACATTATGCTATGTTACTTACTCCCAGAAACCTGAAAAGGCCCTAAGAGCTCCTTTACACTAAATTCCAGCCAAGGACCTTCAACAGTTTTGTCTAGCTACAGTACACTTGGAACAAACACTTATAACAAAATCTATGATGTTTAGCTAGTCAAATAATTTAATGCTGTATTCCCTTGCTTCCTACACCTGGTTACCTGGTTGTTACCTGGTTGTTACTTGGTTAATGTAACAACTGACTAAGGCTGACTAAAAGGCCAGCCTTAGAAAAACACTGGCATCATAGTCTGGCTCCTAAATCCAGATTATGGCCTTGAGTGGTCAGTTTTTGTTTTATTTTGCTTTGTTTTGCTCTAAAACAGTGGGAGAGAATGTAAAGGTAGTTGAGAACAGAGGTGGGGAAGAATATAGAAGTTGAAGAAAAAGAATTAATATGATTAAAAGACATTGAATGAAGCTATCAAAGATTTTTTGAAAGAGATGTGCATTTATTTTTTCAGTATAACTTTTCTTGTACAATAATGCAACTAAAACATCTTACATAGATTTTACAATTTGAATTATCACAGTAGTTCATATTTTCATCAAAAATTATTGATCAAATTACAGATACTTGGTTAGTCTCAAAATAGCTCAAAAGAAATTGATGGAACCAACCAGATGTGGATGGAGATGATCCCATGAGAACCAGCAAGATGAATTTGCTGTTCTGTCACTGACTTAGTCATCTCCTTTACATGATATGGAACTCTGTATAGACAGAGAAAGCTCAGTGGATGTACTAAATCAGGGCCAGTATATTAAGCAATATCTTCATCTTGGTTTTAGTCATGATGAAAATTAAAGAGCCCAATGTTCTTAAGACACCACCTTCCTGAAGAGCACATCAGAACTCCTTGAGGGAAAGTCACACTCCATTTCTGATTACATCCCTTGACACAGCCTTCAGAAAAATGTTTTTTTCTGGTTGAACAAGTAGTCCTCTGCTTAATTTCAAAGGTATCTGCAACAGTGGGAGAAAAATATTAAGAAGCAATAAGTGAGCCAAAACAACTCCAGAAGAAAATTTAAAAAAATCAGCATAATAAGGCTTTGCAGAAACATAAAAGCTACATTATCATCATATATTTTGACCTCATATTCCTGAAACATGCTTTGGGTAAAATGTTGATTGATTATCTTCTTGTTTCAGGCCCAAGAAAATTCTTGTTGATTTATATTATTTCTGTTCTGTGCTGATTTAAAGTAAAACAGCTAAGCTTAATGTTTTCATTCTAATTTTTAGTTAATGTGTCATACTATTGTTTTAAGTATTGAAAAGCTATTTTTGGTTTGTTGAAACTTACAGGGTAATCCTGAGGGTATACACCTCAAATCTATAAACAGTCCTAAGCTCTTAGGTCATATGTCAGCACTACAGTTGAGCCACTAAGGGCACATCTTCAGGAGACACTGACATTACTGGCTTTGCTAGCATCTATTCATGGCTTCAGAGGATAGAATGAATGGAACCCGGGGAAAGCCTCAATTGCAGGAAAAGGAAGGTAAACAAAGTTGTCATGGAGATAAAGAAATGTCAAGTTTCAGATCACTGGAGCTTGCTAGAGCACCTGCCCCTTGCCAGGTGTGCCATGGTATCTCAAAACTGAACCCTTTCTGTCTGTCTAATCATTGTTCATGATTTAAATGCTTTAGCGATGAAGTACTAAAATGAGGGAAGTTTTGTGTAGATATACAACCACGTTAAGTCACAAATCAAAGAATAAACACTTCCATGCCTCTATTTGTCCAGAAGTAAAACTAATAGAAAAAAGAGCTATACTCCAAATAAACAAGTCCTGTAAAGTTTAGCTATCCCTTCACATGAAACAAAAACAAGTTGTTCAGAAAAATATAAACACATTCTCTAAATGTGTTACCTTACACTATTAAAACTTTTGTTACTATACTTAGGTCTTCCATGGAGGCATACAAAAAAGATGTGCATAGAAATATATATACCAAATATACCTTTTAATTTTTAATTAATGCTTTTATGAAACGTATTATAACCGTAAGCCATATTTTAAACCTTTTAACAAAAGCTTTCAATGTTCAAACTCCCTTAAAAGAACAACTTCAAGTTTGTGGAAGGAATAATTTGAGGTGATGTATAAAAGAGAGCGGGTATCCTTCAATACACAGAAAATAAACATAACCAAACTGGACGTTTTAATGACAAAGGATCACCATAGGTGAGGACAACAGCTTGAAGAAGCCAAAAGTAGAACAGAAAGTAAATGAGGATGGAAAACTAAGGGGAAGATTCATTTGGGGAGTGAATGAGAACTTGAACTATGCAAGCAGAATAAGGAGGAAAAAAATACATTGTTTCAGGAAATATGGCAACTACCTGTCTTCTGGAGCAGAGCTCTTGGGAAATGATGCAGAATCATCTAGATGTCCTCCATAAGGATAGAGTTCATCATAACCACCACCATTTTTAAGGTTTATATTTTATGTATAGGAGTGTTTACCTACACATTTGCATCTATAGCACATGTGCACTTTCAAAAGATCCCAGAGGAGGACATCAGAACCCCTGGAACTGGGGTGACAATTGGTTGTTAGCTATGATGTGGGTGCTAGAAACTGACCCCAGGTACTTTGCAAGAATAGCAAATGCTCTTTACCACTGAGCCATCTCATGAGCCCCAGAAATTCTATTTTGAGATATTAATTCTCAAATTGGCATCACATGGGAAGTCAGAGATGAGCTTTTGAAGCCACACTATGGGCGAGTTGTTGTGGGATTTCAGAAATGACCAGCCATCATGAGTTTCTGTTTTTACTTTTGAGACTGGGTGTCACATAGCCCATGCTGGCTTCAAATTTACTAAGTGGCCAAGGATTCTTTGAATTTCTATCCTCTACCCTCTAGTGCAGTGATAATAGGTATGCAACACCACAGCTAGTTCATGTATTTTTGCCATCTGAGAAATATCTAGACACCACCTATGAGTTTTAAAGCTCCTCATTGATTCTAATGAACAGCCAAAGGTTGAAAAACTGCAAGAATAGGCCTTGTGTGAGATCTGGGAGAAGAGTTAACCATTCAACAAACACTGAAAAAAAATGACCATTGCGCTGCCTGGTGACACATAACACCCAATTTCCAATGGACATGACAAGAACTTCAATAAAATGCATATAATTCTGTCACATTGGCCTGCACTGACTCTTTATAACGCTACAGTTGCATTTTATATAAACACAGAACAAAAGGCCCCTTAACTATTTTCTGGATAGAAATAGCTCATTTGGCCAGAAAAAGAAGTATTAAACCTCAAATAAAAGCATATTTGTGTTTATACACAGAACCTCTGTTAGAAAAGTGCCTCCTGTAAAACTTCATTTATACAGATGGTTTTCTCTCCCACCTGTGTTTCCTTACAAGGCTCAAAGGAAAAGTTCTGCAGAACTTTAGTGATAGGAAGTTTCATAATCATGAGCACAAACGTCATGCCAATGCAGTTTCTGGGTCCATATCCAAAGGGCAGGTATAGATAAGGATCAATGTTGCCCTTGTCTTTGCTAAACATGAAGATACAACAGTAGGTGACAAGTTAAAAAAAGAATAAAATCACAATGGCTACATATGTGAAATTGCCTTTCAACATCTATCCAGCAGCATACAGTTTTGGATATGTTCCATGAAGTTCTTCTTGCAGGTATTTGTCTCTGAGAATTGTATACTAAAGGTCCTTTCCATTCCACTTGCCTTATCAGAGTCCCCATATTGTTAAAATGAGACAAATGTTATTTGAAATAAATGAATCTTATGTGTCCACTAGTTTAATCGTGGTGATATGGGTAGATAGAAGAACCATTTTCTGATTATAGTGGTGGTCCAATTTTGAGAGGAAATTTATGTCTGGTATTGTAAATCTGGCTACTGATGTCACAGGTACTAGAGGAGAGCTTACTACTAATGCTTTGCTCAGCAGACATTGTATCAGACTGCCTTCTAAATATTTATGTTTAGACACAAAAATTAGGGTTGATACGAGCCTTTGTCAAAAGAGCTTCTGTTTGCAGTGGGAGACAGTTAACATAGAATCTCATGATTGCTCAAAGTGCTGAGAATAAGAGATGGTGGAGTCCTTAACGTCCTCCAAGGCTCAGGGAACATCACAGAAAGGGAGCAGAAGAAACTTGAGAGCCACATCATGAAATGGGTGCTGTGAAATATTATCATCTGGACATAGCATGCCATTGCATTCATGAACTCACAGATAACTACAGAAGACTAGACCTCTCAATAATCCATCACAGATGGGAAAGAGAGTTCATGGTACTCCACATCCGTATGAAGCTACTGCCATTTAATAGATGCTAGAGGAGGGAGAAGTTTTTCTTCAGTAATGTACCCATGGGTGAGTTGCCCATTCTCCAGTAAACAGCTCCTACACTTACCATACTTAATTTTATGAGTCATAAGAAAATTAAAAGACATAGAAGTAGAAGAATTATTGAGGATAAGCTGAGATTCAACATGACTAGGGGAGAAAAGTGACAGGATAATGTGAAGTGAAAATGATCAAAACACATTATACATTCACCCAATTTTCAAAGAATAAAAATAATAAAAGAAAAAGAATAAACAAGGAAATACACCTTTAAACACTAAAAATTCATTCAAGATAATTGGGCATTCCAAGTCTGGAAAGCACACATCATTTAGATTGAAGGAAAAGTGGGTTCCTGCCTCACACTTAAGTTGTTCATTTATTGCTTAAAGAATGAAAAAAAAGCATTCTGTATTTAGGTTGTCATATTTTCTATCCATCTCATGTTCCCTCTCCTCTCTTCCCTTTCTCTGCCATTCTCATCACAGAATGCAGATGGATGCAAAATCATACCTAGACCATCTTCCTATAAGAGACACCATAGTGTGTAAGACCAACATAGTTCAGAGTGGGTTCCCACTCCTGGAATTCTGGTACCTTTCAGGGTGGAATTCCTGAGGCTCTGGACAGTGCTGTGGATCATGGTGAAGAGCATAAGATGACCTTTTAGGAATAAACATACCATCGATTTCAACATCTTTTTTACAGACCCTCTGAATTCTATTAACAACTGGGTATAATCTGAGGGTTTCTTTCAACACCATGTCCAGGTACTCCATGTCCATCATGATCTCATAGCTGGGAGGTACCTGGGTAGAAAGAAAAAGATTTGTGCTGAGATTTTAGATTAACTTTACTCAGTCTACATTGTACTGGTAAGTTCTCTGCAGCTCCAGAGCAAAGCCCAGCATCTCAGAGTGCTTTTGATAGCATTTACAACACATTTAAATGGTTTTAAATTGTTTTATTATGTGTGTCTATATGTTTTGAATACATATATGCCCCACATGGGTACAGTGCCCGCAGAAGCCAAACGGGGCATCAGATGTCCCATGACTAGGGTTTGACAGATTTGGCAATTGCCATTTGGGTGCTGGGACTCAAATATGGATGGAACCTCTGGAAGAGCAGCCAGTGCTCTTAACTATTGTGCTATTCCCCCAGCGCCTTACACAGCAGTTTGTATAACTACCACGTGGGGCTGGGAGGATGTCTCAAGTAGCGAAGTGTCTGCTACACAACCCTGGGGACCTGGGTTCAGACATATATTATTCATAAAGCCAGACACAGTGGCACACATCTATTACTCAAGCCGTTGGGGGACAGAGACAGGGCTTGGTGCTCATTGGCCAGAAACCCTAGCTAAATGTATAAGCTTCAGGTATAGTGAGAGAGAGAGCCTGTCTCAAAAAACATGTTGAAGAATAATTTTAAAAAATATCCCCTTTAGGTCTGTGACCTAAACACACACACACACACACACACACACACACACACACACACACACACACCACTCACTCACACACACCATTGCATGTGATGAGAAGCTGTCTTCGTTGAGCCTTCCCCTTTCTCCTCCTATTGCAAGGACCAGCCAGTCACCTTATTGGGCAGAGCTGTGTCCATCTCCACTTGCAGTTTCTTCTAGACATCAGGGTGAGTGGACAGTAAATGCAGGACAAAGGAAAGTGTGGTGCTGGGGGTGTCATAGCCAGCAGAAATAAAGATAATTGACTGTGCTAAGATCTCCATGTCAGTCAGTGCTGGAAGTTAAAAAAATATATCTCAGATAAGTCAGATCAAGGTGGACAATCACAGGTGAAATGACGGGAAAAACAAACAAGGCTCCAGTTTTCCTAAAGAGAAACATGGAGAAGCTGTTCGGTCACCCTGACTGAGCCTGTTATCACTGTGACAACCATGTGACACATGCAAAGATGTGGGAGAGCACTTCAGCCAGGTTGTCCCAAGGTGTGTGCTATGTTCCTTATTGTCACCAGTGGGCAACTTCAGGACATGGGATTTTTTCTTTTTAACCCCACAAGGAGAGCAACAGAAACAGAAAATTTGAACACAAAAATTCCCAGAGACCCATACTCCAACCAAGTACCAGGCATGGAGATATCCTAGAACCCCTGCACAGATGTAATCCATGGCAGTTTAGTGTCTAAGTGGGTTACATAGTAATGGGAAGAGGGACTGCCTCTAACATAATCTGATTGGCCTGCTCTTTGATCACCTCCTGCTGAAGGGAGAGCAGTCTTACCAGGCCACAGAAGATGACAATGCAACCACCCCTGATGTGATCTGATAGACTAAGATCAGAAGGAAGGAGAGGAGGACCTCCCCTATCAGTGGACTTGGGGAGGGGCATGCGTGAAGAAGAGGGAGGAAGGGTGGAACTGGGAGGGGAGGAGGGAGGGGCTTATGGGAAGATACACAATGAATAAAGTGTAATTAATAATAAAAAACAACAAAAAAGATTTATTTCATTTATGTATATTTGTATATTCGTATGTATTGTGTGTATATTTGTATGTATATTTGAGGGATGTGTCTGGGGGGGTGTGCCCATGGAAGCCAAAAAAGGGCATTTGAAACCCTTGAGAAGAATTTGTAGAAAGTTGTGAAGAGTCAAAGGTAGGTACAGGAAACAGAATTCTAGTCCCTTGCTTGAGCTTAAGATTTTTTAATATTTTTATTTATGTGTTTACACACGTATGTACAAGTGCCCATGTAAGCCAGAAGATGGTATTGGAGACCATGGAACTAGATTTATAGGCAATTGTAAATCTTCTGCTACGATTCTCTGATTCTGTTGTTGGTAAATTCTTTCTTCCAAGTAGTTGCTTCTATGCTGAAACAGGATTATAAGCCCACAACCCGTCACTATTTTCAAAATTAATACTTATTTTAGCAATCAAAAATGAAACAGAATGGATGAGGATATGTAGCTCAGTAGGTGGACTGCCCTGGATTTAATCCCCAGCACAGACTTTTAATCTCAGTAGTTAAAAGTCATGCCTTCTCAGGCACAACTTGAATGTGAGGTCAACCTCACCTTCAAACAGGGCCATGTAAAAACTGTTTTTGAAGGAAGAGGAGGTACAAAAGAAAGGAGTTAAAGTCAGTTGATCACATGAAAGGCTTTCAAGTAGACAAACTGGGAGAAATATATGTAAAAAATCAGTGACTTTGAAAATAAAATCATGCTGTTATATATGCAAGCAAGTGTATGCACTAGAAATAAGCAAAGAGGTAACAATGCAAGGCACATGGAAAAAAAAAGTCTGGAATTGGAATGTTGTCATTTTGCAACCATGATAGTAATGATGGTTTTAAATTTGAAAATAAACACAAATGGGAAATTATAAAGCTGGCTCAATGGGTAAGAACACTGATTGCACAAACTTGAGGACCTTGAATCTTCTATCCCCATGTGAAAAACCAGGTGTGGCAGCACACCACTGTCATCCCAATGCTGTGTATTATTGGGAACTGCTGTCTGCCAGCCTAACTCCAGGTTTAATGAGATGAAATAAGGCAAAGGTGAGATGCTTGGTGCCTTCTCTGTTATCTGCACACACAACTAGGGTTTTGCACATGTGTACATACTCATGCACATACATGCATGGGCCACACAAAGAAGATAAAAATAATTAGTGTGTAAAAAATGGATAGAGGCAGCAAATTTGTGCAAAGAGGCTTTCTTCAGAAGCTACTTATTCATCAGGAAAAGTAAAAATAAATTTCTACCATAGATTAAGGTACAGAACACATGCACACCAGGGGCTCTCAGAATGCATCAGTGCTGTTTGTGTACATGCCTTCTGTCTGGATGCTTATACTCAGATGTCTAGGCTGAGTTCCAAGTCAGGGTGGGAGAAAAGACAGAAACAGCACCTATGCTGATCTGGGTAACACACAGACAGCTGAAGTCTTCCATTGTGACTACTCCCTTCATGTTTGGAACAATGTTATGCCCATGTGCTTCCAGAAAATTCCATGAAGAGAATAGCCATGTCTGCCTTTCAGCAACTTGACAGAAATATTCCTCTACCTACAGAAGCCTCCTTGCATATTTTCTGAGCAGTATGCCCATTCCCAGAGAGCTTCCCTGTGCATAGACCAGGGAGTCCTTGGTTACCTTTGTGAGACTCTGTGTCTTTGGCATTCTTGTGAGCATTCATCATCAACTGGAGAAAATCCACTCTGTGCTGGAAGCAGAAAGAGTATTTACAAATGTAGAAGGTCAACTGATGAGGTAAGAGATGGATCGGGAGTGCAGAAACTTAATTCTCTCTTTTCTGAGTATGTGACTCCCTTACACTCAAAAGCATAGTTAGTGTCACTTGAGTCACCAAAGATCAAACTCACAAGTGACTAAACCAGGAAGCAATCCAGCCACTATATCAACTACTTTTACAATAAATTACAAATAGGTGCAGTTTTAAACAGTAGATATTATACTTTGCAAATGCTTTTGAATGACAGGAAAATAATCATTTTTATTTGTTATTAGAGAACTTCACACATGTGCACAATGGGATATCGTCATATCCACCCCATTCTTTCTTCCATCCAATTCCTTCTATATCCTATGTAACATTTCTTCCTTCCTTAATAACCCACTGAGTCCAACTAGTGCTGCCCATATGTGCAGGACTGTGGGGACATCCACTGCTACAAGGGAATCCTTCCAGTGCCCACAGCCTCCATCCACAACTATTAACTGCCAATAGTCAGTCAGAAAGGGGCAGAACCTGGAGAGTTTCCCTCTGATATATGTTAGAGTTTTATGGTCTTGATTTTGTGCAGGTCTTGTGCTGTGACTAATTCTTTTAATTTTTTAATTCTTATGCCTATCACTCTAGTTTTCTTTGAAATTGCTAAGGGTTATTTCCTGGCTTATTCTCAATCAAAAATTTAAAACTCCAACTGTTCCTCCCCCAGAAAATATAAATATTCTGTCTCTGTCTAATGGACTCTTCTCTATCTACCTTTACTGACAGATGAAGAAATACACAGCTCATATTCTCACAGCCCAACATGTTTTCAAACTGTGAACCTCCCATGAGACCATCACTTTTTACCTTCTTGTTTGAATCCAGGCGATTTTCCTTCATTTTGTCCACAAATTTTTTGAAAAATGCTAATGAATCCTTTGAGAACCTGGAGATATTTAGCATCTCATATATTGGGTTGAGGAATGGAAAGAGTACTAGAAAGAAAAAAAAAAGTTTTAATGAACATGCAAGGTTCATCTAGAGAAGTCAAAACACAATACAAATAAGCCAGTGTCTCAGCCAGAATCTGTTCTCCCTTTGATCTTGCTCTCACATTGTGACTGTGATTACATTGTGTCACCTCCACACTGCTCCTTCTGCAGTTTGCAGCAGCCAGAGCTGCAAATCTGCCTCTTGTATTGAACTCTGTTCCTGTAGTCCTTGTAGACTCAGACAGAAAAACTGGGAGCTTTTGAGATAAAGGATCCTGCAGGCAAGTGTGAAAACCTCAGCTTGATCCCTGGATCCCACACTGTGGAAGGACACAACCAGAAGCAATGTGAACATGTATAGACACACACAAAAACACATACATACATACACACACACACACACAAATAAGGACAGCTGATGATACAGAGAGAAACCCTATCTCAAGAAATAAAAAGACAAGCTCAAAAACAGGTGACCACAACCCAGAAAGAAAGAAAATCAAATAATGTCCTTCATTTCCCAGTTCTATTCTGTAATGAATAAATGTAAATATGTGAACAGGTATAAGTGTGGCTATCATATAATACTTAAAAGGAGACCAAGAGGATAATAGTAAGGGAGGAAGAATGGAATGTAGGGAAAAGGACACACGATCTGTGTGTGGAAATGTAATTAACAAGGAAAAGCATTAAAGCCCTAAATGAAGCAACATGTTAAATGGATCCAGAATATACACATATATGTACATAAAGATAAATAAACATACACACACACACACACACATATATGGCCACTGCACACTGGTTGGAGATATGCCACAGAAGTTAGCACTGGCTACTTTTGAAGAGAACCCAGGCTTCATTCCCAGCCCCCACATGACTGCTCTCTAAGGAGAAGGAGGTGGGTGAATGAAAAGAAGGGTTATGTGAGAAGACAGAGACAACAAAGAGAGATGGGGGCTATAATCAAAATGTAAAGTGAATATATAAATAAAAATTTAAAAATAAAATTTTTAAATTTTAAAAATAAAATTCCCCACAAAAAAATTAAAAATAGGGTTACCTTTTATCTAAGCAATGATGATTCTTAATATATACCATGAAACATAAAAAAGTAACTATATCCTTCTATGCATATGTTAATAGCAATAAAATTCATGGCAAACATGTGAAACTAACTTCATGTCTATCAATAGATACAGAGCATTTTTTGCTCATGGACACAGGAGGTAGTGATGTTTGTTTAATTTACTATTGTGCTATATAAAAGATGCCTGCCACAGAGACCAAAACCTATGATCCCATTGATGTGAAGTGCCAAGGATATGTAAATATACAGATAGTGAACAGGTGTTGCTTAGGTCGAGGTGGCTTAGGTGTAGGTGAAGGATGATGGTCAAAAGAGCCAACATAGCTAGAACAATGTACTATACAGTCCTCATTGGCAAGGGGCCATGTGGTCCTTCAGTCAATGCAGATTTCCAAGTGATCAAAGTATGGAGAATCAGTGACTGCTGACTGCTCAGCCCTAAATGGAGTAACTGTATCAACACCCCACCCTTCAAGGCTCAAGAAACGGCCTGAAAGAAGGTGTGGAAAGAAAGAGCCAGCAATGGGGCATCTGCAGTGCCATATCCCAGATGTGGCATGGTCCACTCATGGACCAAACACCTGCATAAGATCAGGCCAGTAATACTGTTTGCCATCCTAGCAGGCAGTAACTGGGTGCACTGGGTTACCAAAACACAGAAAGGGACATGAAATAAGGAGGAGAACATGTTGGGGTGTCTGAGGGAAGCGGGAGGGAAGAGTTATGGGTGGGTCTAATCAAGATATGTTGTATTCCTATATGACACAGTCAAAAATAAATAAAAGCATTATAAAGCAAAGCCAGGAGTGCTGGTGCACACTTTAGTCCTCAGGAGGTAGAAGCAGGAGGATCACTTTGAGTTCAAAGCCAGTCTGGTCTACACAGCAATTTCCAGGCCAGCTAGAGATACACAGTAAGATCCTGTCTCAAGATAAAATAAAGGAATAAAACAAACATAATGGGCTACATGTCTTTGAATGCACTAAAAGCATTGAATTGTGCTTTTAAGAAAACGAATTACATGACAACTGAATTACATTGCAGTAGAGAAGCTATTTTGTGGGGAAGTGTGAAAGAGAAGGGCAGAAGTGACAAACGCAGCCACAGACAAGACTAATGGAGCAAAAGACAGAACTTTCTACATACCTACTAACAAGAACAATAGATCAAAAAAATCAAATCTTAAGAGATTCTTGGCTTTCTCCACAAAAGGATCATTTGGGTTGTTGAAGGAATCAACGTTCACTACAAATGATGTGCTGGTGACCACATCCATGCCGTAGGCCCCAAACACTCTGAGGAGGAAGAGACATGGGAACCAGCATGAAGCCTGAAATGGTTCATAGTTTTGGGACAAGAGAAACAAAGCCACCTCAGTATTGACCAAGTGCCTTCCCATCCTGCCCACCCTCTACCCTTGTGACTTTCAGACCATCATGATTCTTCTTTTTAAACTGTGTAATTATCTAATATATATATTAGATACATACAATATACACATACATGTAATCTATGCATAATATCTAAAGGTAGAGTATATGCAGCTAAGCCATGTGAGATACACAAGGAAAAAGACTCTCTGCCCAAGTTATCCTCCCAGATAACCTCCCAGAACCACCTTGGATGCACTACCACTTACTCCTTCATAGGGACAGGCTTGCCTTTCTCTGCCTCTCCTCTCAAGTATTTTACCAAAATATCTCCATACTGTTCAATGATGGGGAACATCTGAGCACAAAGCACAAAAGCATCCATAGTTAAGTGTGGAGAATCAGGTCACACAAAGATTTTAATCATAAGTCCTTTCAGTCACCTCTTTGAGTTTTCCACTGGTGAAGGTGGCAGACAGCAAGGCTCAGATTCTCTTCCACTCGTCATCCTCAGAGAAGAAGACAGCTTTTTTTCATAATCCCCTCTGGGCCAAAATTCTACAGTAAAAAAAAAATGGTTCTGTGTAAGTATGGAATTCATCATGGTTGCAAAAGTGCTGAGCAGATAACACCATATTACAATTTGTTACACTGTTTACTGTTATACTGTTTACTATGGACTGAACTGAATGTTGGATGCAAAAGAAAAAAAGTTTAAAATTTCAGCATTTCCTCACAGCCTATAAGAAATCCAGAGCTCACCAGGTAACCTGTTGTGTTTTCAAGCCTTTATATCCCAGGATTCTTTTAAATGTAAATCTCTCTATAGATTTAAATTAGGTCCAATGTTAGGGGAAAGATAGGAACAATAAGGAGCAGGTGCAGATGCTGTGCATATGGCAAATGGCTTGGAGACAGAAAGAAAGTGAACTTTGCATCACAGAGGTTCTCCAGTTCTGTGTTTATAACATAAACAGTGTATGTGTGTGTGTGTGTGTGTGTGTGTGTGTGTGTATCATGTAAGTGCTGGTGCACATGCCCATGTGTGGTCATGTGGAGACCAGAGGTCTGTGATCTCCCTCTATAATTCTCTACAGCACTTTTCTGAGGCAGGGTCTGTCACTGAATCTTGAAGGTTCTGGTTTGTTTGGAATAATCTGGCATGCAAGCCCTTAGGATCTACATGTTCCTATGCACAGCTCTGGAGTCATACTTGCATGCTGCTCTGCCTTCTTTTATGTGTATACTGGGGATCCAAACTCAGGCCCTTTTCCCATTGATGGTGCCAGTAACATGTAAAAGATTTGATGTATGAGTTTTTAACAATTTGTTTTACTATTTTATGAATGCATGTATGTGTGTGTGTGTGAGTGTGTGACAGTGCATGTACATGTGTGTAGTGTATTCAGAGGACAGAGGAAGGATTTGGATCTGGTAAAGCTGGCAATACAGCTGGTTGTGAGCTGCTGGATATGTAGACAACCAAGCTCCCATCCTCTTTCAGAGCTTTCAGCCACTAAAACATCACTCTAGCCTCTGGATGGTTTGATTGATGGATCATTTGTTTTTGTTTAGAAATAATGCTATAGAAATCCCTTTTCCTTAATTCTTTATACAGTGATAAAGGGAGAAAAAGAAAAATTTCCCTAATAGGACCTTTCATCTATCTTTCATATTTATATTTTATACTAATGTGGAGTCCTCAACACACCCTTAAACTACAATACTCAGCACAAAAGGAAGAAAGGAAAACAGCTTGACATGATGAAGGGCATCTGCAAACAAGGCCTTCAGCGAACTTCACTAAATGACCACAGACTAAATGAGGTCCAATAAGCAATCTCAAAAGGTAAAGGTGATTGCTGCCAAGCCCAACAACCTGAGTTCGATACCCAGGACCCACAGTGTGTAAGGAGAGAACCAACAGGCTTCCTCAGATAAAACAGTAGATAGCCATGGTTTAAGAGAGAGGCCATGCATGGGAAGAGCCTAGATCCCCTCTTCAGAGGAAGCCCATTAGGGCTTCAGTTTCCAAGTGGGTTCTCTAGAAAAGAGTAAAGGGGCTGACTCTGATGTGAACTCAATGGCCTGCTCTTTGATCACCTATCCATGGAGGAAGATGATGCAGCCAGCCTTGGTAGGACCTGATAGACTAGGGGTCAGAGAGAAAGAAAGGAGGTCCTCCCCTATTAGTGGACTAGGGAAAGAGCATAGGGGAAGAAGAAGAGGGTGTAGAGACTGGGAGGAAATGAGAGATGGGGCTACAGCAGGGATACAAATTGAATAAATTGTAATGAATAAATATATAAATAAATTTAAATTAAATTTAAGTAAGAAGTATCCTGCACAGAAAAATTAACATAAATAAAACCATAGATTTGAGATCAAATCTCAAGAGCAAATCTACATGCATGTGATAGGTAAACAGTCATGAGACTTGACACCTAAGAGCACAATCCATGAGAAGGAAAATGGATAAAAAAGGCAAAGAGAAGACAGGCTGTACACAACAGCTAATGGGCTAGCTTGAGGGAGCTGTGTGGTCAAGGAGGTTCTCTGTATTCTGAATGTTTGACACCACAAAAATCAATACCATACAGACATAAAAAGGACTTGTAAATGGGAAATGTAAATTACTCTAGATGACAAGTGTCCACCTACAACTAGATTACAATACCATAGTATATTTAAACTTACTCAACACATTCCTATTAGCAAAATTAATACCTAGATCCTGCTTGTACATTATTATGGAAGCCACTGTGAATCTATATTTATTTCCGTTTTAAGTAAGTAAAATATAAAGGTTTAAATTATGAAAAGGGGAGGCTGTGGAGATGATTCAACAGTTAAGGGTGCTTCCTGTTCTTCTGGAGGATACAGACTTGGTCCCCAGCACCCCTGTCAGGCAATTCACAACTGTCTGCAACACCAGCTCCAGGGGATGTCATACCTTCTGCTGGCCTCCACAGGAACCTACACACATGGCATTCACTCACATAGCCATACCTATGTAACTGTAGGCATAAGATTGTTGTGTAATTCAAATGCTGACTTCTGTAACCTCCCATATCTGGTTGCCATCCTTGTTCTGAGAATTTCCTGTCTCAGTGTTGTATAAACACTGCTCCCAATGGTCCCCTGATATGTCAAGAAAGAAGCTTACAGCTCATTGCTGAGCATAGGAGAAAATGGGGCAAGACTTCTACTAGCCAGGGGAGGAGGATTTAGAAAAGGAAGTAGGGGATGCTGTCAAAGAATAGGTTGAAGAGACATGAATAGAAGGAGCTACAAAAAAAAAAGCTACAAAGTGCAAGTACACTGGGAGGAAGCCAAATTAGCTTAGAGGGTTAGGAATAGATTAATAACTTCTTAACTATTGCATTGTGAAGCTTATTACTAAAGAAATATAAAAGAGTGAATTGTGTGATGTCTATATTTAGAGAGAAACTAAGAGTAACAAATACAGCTTTATAAAAATAACATTAACATATACACATAAATAAATAAAATAACAAAAATGATCATTTAAATTTTTTTAATTAAAAAAAGAAGTTATCCATCTGCCGATTTGTGAAGGCAGAATAGGATTCTTTCACTAGCACATTCTGGATCATCTCTGTGTCTGTGATGGCAAATAGAGGTGTTTGACCCTCAAACAGCTTATGCAAGGAAAACAGCTGATTAATCCAAAGCCAGGCTCTCAAGTGAGAGCCACACCCAGACTTTGATTTTAATGGAGCATGACCCTCACTCTGGTTTTACAACACACTGTCACAGGAGTTCCCAGGGCAACTCCCAGATTCTGACCTCGGACAAAATGAAGTCTTTGTAAAATGTAATATCATTCAATGTAAAATGTAATGTCATTCAAGACAAAACAATTCTGAAAGACATAACTAGAAATAAGAGGTGGGAATTTGATAAGTCTAAATGTCCATGTGTGAGAGTTGCCTATACCATTTTCTGTGATTTTCGAATATATAAAATACTGTGAGGAGCTGGAGAGAAGGTACCATAGTTAAAAGCACGTACTTCCCTTGCAGAGGACCTTAACTTGGTTCCTAACACTCATATTGGGTAGCTCACAACCCCCTGTAACTAGAGCTCAAGGAAAATCCAGTGCTTCTGGCCTCCAAGTTCATTTGCACTCATGTGCACAGACACACATATGCACATGTATAATTAATAGTAATAAAAATATATGTTTAAATATAAATATTAATTAATAATAATTTTAAAATAAAATATTCATATTAAATTTTTACTTTAAATATTTTAAAGTAAAAATAAATCTTTAAAAATTAAACATTGGAATTTGGAAATTAATCTTAAAATAATAAAATATTTCAGTATCAGGGCTTGAGATGTAGCTCCATGGTATTTTGACTGCCTAGAGTGAACCAGGCCTTGGTTTGATACATTGATCTGAAAACAAATGAAAATAAGGAATTTAAATAGGGCATCATTATGTACATTCAGGATCACATGGCCTTAGTCATGAGGTAAATACAAATGAACATGACTCTGAGATTCCATCTTACACTCATGAGATGGCTAGGATCTTAAGTGACAGCACATGTTGGTGAGGATGTGGAGCAAGAGGGACCTTCCTCCATTGCTGGTGGGAGTGTAAACTTGTACATTCATTTTGGAAAGTAATCTGGAGGTTTCTCAAAAAATCATGAATAGCTCTATCTCAAGATCCAGGTATACCACTCCTATGTAGATACCCAAAACATGCTCTACCATTCAATCAGGACATCTATTCAACTATGATCATAGCAGATTTATTCTTAATAGCCAGAATCTGGAGACAACCCAGATATCTCTCAAGTGAAGAATGGATAAAGAAACTGTGGTACATTTACACAATGGAATACTGTTTGGCTATTAAAAACTAGGGTATTATGGAATTTGCAGGCAAAATGTAGAACTAGAAAAGGTCACCCTGAGTGAAGTAACTGAGAAGCAGAAAGACACTCATGGTGTATACTCAATTATAAGTGGATTTTAGCCATATAGTACAGCATAACCAAACCACAATTCACAGACCCAAAGGAGATAAGTAACAAGGAGGACCCAAAGAAGGGTGCTTAAATCACACTCAGAAGGAAATAGAATAGATATCAGAAGTGGTTGAAGAAAAGGAACAAGTTAGGAGAGGGAGCATAGAGAGAAATGAGGGCAGAGATCAGACCTTGGGAGAGCAGAAGCAGGAGGACAGAGAGAAAAGAAACTGAGTGGGGACATATCTATGACAAGCACGAGACCTATGACAACCTAGAGGCTTCTGGGAAGATATGGGGATGATCTGGCTGAGACACCTAGTAGCATGGGTTATGGACACTAAAGAGGACATCCTCTTACTAGATAGGACCCCTTGTAGAAAGGGGAACACCAAGTAACCCACAAAAACTTTGACTCCAAATTTACTCTACCTACAAGATGTGCAAGGATAAAGATAGAGCAGAGATTGAGGGAATCTACAACCAATGCCTGACACTATCAATAATACTCTCCTGTGATCACAAATAAGTGCCCAGCATAGCTGTCTCTGCGAGTCTCCACCCAGCAGCAGATAGAAACAGATGCTGAGACTCACAGCCAAACCCTGGGTAAGGCATAAGGAGTCTTGTGGAAAAGTGGGGTGTGTGTGTGCAGAGATAGAAGTATCTGGAGAGGACAGGAACTCCACAAGAAGACCAAGAGAGCCAGCTAAACAGAGCCCAGAGCATCTTGTGGAGACTGAAGCACCAAGGAAAGACCATGAAGAACTAGGCACCCTATACAAATGTTGCCAATGCATTATGTGGGTTTCCTAGTAAGGGGAGCAAAGGCTGTCTACGGACTATATTGCCTGCTTTTTGATCACTTCTGTTTGGTGGGGCTGTCTCAACAGGCCACAGGGGAAGAGAATGAACTCAGTCCTTATGAAACTTGATGTGCTGGCGAGGGTTGGTAGGGGGCACTCCTTTACTGAAGAGTAGGGTAGGGGAATGGGGTGGGGAAAGGAGGGAGAGTGGGATCAGGAGTAGGGTAGGGAGAGGCTACAATTGGGATGTAAAAAGAAGAAATTAGTTAATTAATTAAAAGAAATAAATAAAAGAATTTAATGAAGCACCTACATCAAATTCTCCAAGGCTCATATAATGTTTGGAAGACAGGGCAGAAAGAACATGAGAGTGAGGAAGTAGAGAGGAGAGCAGCCAAATGCTGACTTCTATACTCTTGAACTCACTGAAGCTGGGGTTACTCCACAAGGCCTGTGGATAATTTTACTGTCTGCATTCTAGCAGGAAGTTTAAGGTCCTGACACTGCCTGAGTATTGACACACAGCTAGTTCCTGGGAGAGGGAAAGCACAATGTCCCAGTAATACAGGTGACTGATGAGGTCCATTCAATCCCTGGAATCTACATGCTGGAATGAGGGAACTGACTGTCACAGTTTCCATTTGACCTTTACATGCATGCCACAGAACACACGTCCCACTCTGACAAATAAATCAATATAAGAAAAAAATTTAAAAAAATGGTGGTAGGGGATGACAAGATATCATCTTCAGTGATGAACCATTGGTGAGTTGCTCATTGTCATGTAAATAACTTTTCACTCACTCATGATTCTGTAAATAAGTCCAATTAAATTCACTGGTTTGCGCACACACACACACACACACACACACACACACACGCACACAAAACTGGTTTTTAAAATAAGCAAAACAATATTAGGTCCAGGCATGGTGGCACATGTCTCTAATCTCAGCACTTAGAAGGGAGACTCTGACTGATCTCCAACCTCAAGGAAAGTTTAGTCTACATAGTGAGTTCCAGGATATTCAGGGCTACATAAAGAGACCTTTGTTGTGGTTAGTCTAAAAATATTTATTAACTCACTATCACAGTCAATAAAAGACACAGACAACTGATAAATTTTAGAATAGCCTTATATCACCTGCAAAGTAGATAGTAACATTCTAAACAACCTTTACTTTCAAGCCCCAACCTAGGCTTCCTTTCACCCATAATTCCATAAACACTTGCATATTCTCTCATTTGTATCATTTCCTCCATCCATACCAACATGTGCTTCTTTCAAGCAAAGCCGTGATAACTCTCTGCTTTCTTCCTCTACCTCTTCCAGTACCTGTCGTTCTACCCAACATACTTCTGTGCCCAAAGCCCAAGAACCTTAGTCCCATCTACCTCCTTCTGCCCTGCCCAGGTATAGGCATACTAATCATCCAGTAATAGATAATTGAAGAATATTCATTCGCACCCCATGGCTACAGGAGATAGTTAAACATTATAACAATGTCCATGGCAATGCAGTAACTAGATCTCAAGGCACTGAAATAGCATTTGAATACATAACACATGACTAGTGAATCACTATTCACAGATGATATAATAGTATACATGAGTGGACCCACAAATTCTACCAGAGAACTCGTACAGCTGATGAACACCTTCAGCAAAATTGCTGGATACAAAATTAACTAAAAAAAAACCTGAAGTCTTCCTGTATTACAAAAGACAAGTGAGCTGAGAAAGAAATTGGGGAAACAACAACCTTCCAATAGTCACAAATAACATAAAGTATGCCAGTTTAACTCTTACCAAGCCAGGGAAAGATCTGTATGAAAAAAACTTCAAGTTTCTGAATAAAGAAATTGAAGAAAATAACAGAAGATGAAAAGATTTTCCATGTTTGTGGATCAGTAAGAATAACAGCAAAAATGGTCATACTACCAAAAGAAATCTAGAGATTAATGCAAATCCCATCAAAACAACAACACAATTCCTTACAGACCGTGAAAGTACAATTCTCAACATCAAATTAAAAAATAAAGAGAATAGTTAAAACAACCCAGTATGGTAAGGAACTTCTGAAGTTATCTCCATCCGTGATCTAAAGCTACACTATAGAGAAATAGTAATAACAATGGCATAGTACTGGCAGAGAAACAGACTTGTGGGTCAATGGAATTGAATCAAATACCCAGAAATAAATACACCCACCTACAGAAGGCAGGACTAAGGACAAAAATTTATACACTGAACCCCCACAGTATGTCCTTCTTCCCCTTCAAGCTACTTAAGACCTCCATCCCCTGGTACTACAGCACAGAATCTCCACTTCCCCCTTCAAAAGACTACCATATCAGTGTTCTGTCTGAGAGAAAAATCTTGCTTTTGGAAATGCCTGTCTGCTCTCTTTTAAGTCCATGACAACTGCACCAGTCCTGATCTCACAGACACTACAACATGGATTGAGGAAAGCAGAGAATCATAGGTTCATATTTTAAGTCTTCATTCAACTAAGCATTTAAATGCAATAAATAAATAAATAAATAAATAAATAAATAAATAGATAGATAAATAAATAAATAAATGGGTAGACTTCTAGATGTATATAATCTAACAACATTAAATCAAGTTGAAATAAATTATTAAAACAGACACATAACAACCAAGATAGAACTGGTAACTTAAACATCTCTCAATTAAAAGAAAGAAAAAAAAAGCCTATCTCTAGAGATTCAGCATGAATTCTACAAGAGTCTCAAATAACTCACTGTAATACTCTTCAAAGTATTCCACATAAAGGAAAAGGAAGAAATACTTCCATATTCTTGTTAAGACACCAGCAGTATTATTTTACATCCCTGTCATAGACCCCTCCCTTCTCTGCTCCTGGTTCTACTCACCCTGTTTCCCCTACCACCCCTCACATGGCTCCTCAGAGAAGGGGATCATCCCCTCCCCTGTGTATACCCACCCATGCCACCATATCAAGTCACATGAGGACTCAGTGCATCCTCTTGCCCTGTGGTGTGGCAAGGTAACCCCGACAGGGGAATGTGATAGAAAAGCTAGCTTGTGGATCAGGGTGCATTCATATGTGTGTTGGTCCTGCTGTGTTTACAAGGCCTTGTTACCCTCGTGTCCTTCATCCCCTTTGGTGCTTACACTCTGCACAGAGTTCCTTGAGCCCTTAGGGGAGGGAATTGCTGGAGACATCTCATTTAGAGTGGAATGGTCCAAGGCCTCTCACTGTCTGAGTATCAACTGGATGTGGGTCTCTATATTTGTTCCTATCTGCTGCAGGATGAAGTATTCTATGATGGCTGAGCAAGGCACCGATCTTTGAGTACGGCTGTGCTCCTTTAGCACCACTATAGCATTTAAATTTCTCTGATGTCCCTGGCCTGTGTAGACTCAGGCTCCTGGCAATCCAAGCCATGTTGGATGAAGGTTCCTTTTCATGGAGTGGGCCTCCTGAAACTCAACCAAATATTAATTGGTCACTTCCATGAAATTTGTGCCACAAGTGCACCAGAAAATCTTGTAGGCAGGTTACCATTGGAGAGTGAAGGGTGTATGGCTGGGTTGGTGTGTACTTTCCTCTTTAGGTGGACTATGGTGAATGTTAAGGGGAACGCGAGCACCCACAAGCATGCATGCCATGTCTTCAATGTCTTATGTATTGTTGAAAAAGAAGGCACTTGAGAATAACTACAAAGTTATGTTCCAAGAATGTGACACTTGGTGGAAATTCAACTTTCAGGAGTTAGCATGGCACCTCTTCATTTTCCTAGTTCCTCCTGTATTCTGTTATTTTCAGGTATTTCAGACCGAACAAAAAGCATCTTTTCAGGCTGGAAATGGACTGTAGTTTTCAGGTTAGATATGGCAGTAGCATAAAATTTGGTCAGTGGTGAACTATACTTATCTGTGTGCATTATTAAAAATATCTAGATTGCAACATATTTATATTCATGAATGGACTTACATGTGTTATAGGGATTTTATGTAGATAATTCACAGTATGATTGTGTAAAACTCTTTCAAAAATTTACTGTTATTTCATCCACTTCTTTCTTTTATATTTATCCTCCTTCATAATTAGAGTACCTCCCCTGGTTTATCCCAATCAGATCAATTGTACCTGCCATTGTATTGGTTACCCACCATGCCTTCTTGTTTCTACAGTTATTCCATGATGAATAAATACTCACAAACCAACATTTGGAGCTAGATGCACCAGCATAGAGAATGAAAGATATTTGTCTTCTGGATATGGGTTACCTAAATTAAGTTTTTACTTACATCTATTTATATGTATGATATGATAAATATGAGTTTCCATTTCCTACCTATTGTGAACAGAATAGCAATGAAGGTGACTAAGCAAATATTTGTAGAGTGGGATGTCGAGTCATTTTTACATATGTCAAGGAAAAGAGAGCAGAGTCAGGCAGCAGATTTATAATTTCTGTTTAGAAAATTCTCTACTCTGATTTCTGGAATGGCTCAACTATTTAAAAGACACACCACCAACCCCTTTCCAGTAATTGATTTTCATGCTTGGTCTATAGAAGAATCGCAGATATCACCCAAAGCCCTGTATACTACCTAAAATAACAAAGAAAACAAGTTTATGTACTATTTATCTCAATTACTTTCATGTAATTATATTTTGAATATGTATATTGTCCAAAAATTAATAAATAACATGCATAGCTTACTAAATTGTGTTTTCAGCAGCAGCTTTTATTCTAAAATAGAATATCTGTGATTGTTCGACAAAGTGAGGGGCTCTTATGTTTGTTTAAATATACATTTAAGAAAAAGTTACTTAAAAGTGGGTAAATAATTTAATTTTAGTATACTAATGGGTTTTATTAGAAAAAAAAGAAAACTAATACATCAAAATGATCATTTTTTTATTTGCTATTTTTTGTTTTTAATACATCTCAAAGAGTTTTTATCAGGTCTTAAGAGAATAATGTAGCACTTAGGGAAGAAGATGCACCCCAGCAGCCCTGCACTAGAGGCCAATATGTAGAAGACCTCCACAGCCACAACGGCTTTGCCCTTGGTGCTCTGGTAGACAGGGATGAAGATGACCCAGACACTGAGGAAGACCAGCATGCTGAATGTCAGGAACTTGGCCTCATTGAATGTGTCAGGCAGTTTCCTTACCAAGAAAGCCACAGTGAAGCTGCCTAAAGCCAGGGTCCCTAAGTAAGCCAGCACACAGTAGAAAGCAGTAACTGA